TGTATATACAGCTTTGGAAGTGTGGTATGTTAATTCAACTGGGAAGTACCTTTGTTTTCAGTTACCAAATACAATTCATGTAACTTGCATTGGTGATTGCACCCTTTTTTACTTTTATGCTGCAGTACTCCAAACATAAATGGCTTATTGTTAAGCATTCTATTGTAAGTACACTTTACAGCAATGCTAATCATTTTACTATGTGGATATCCATCAGAAGAAACGTTTGTGACCCTTTTTGGCTGCAGAAATACTGGCACTGACACTGGGTTTGCCCATGCACGTTTCAGGGATTTGGTGGAATTCCTCACACAAATGTTGTGGTAATTTAAGTTTCCCAGCATGCTGTGCGACTTTGGATGACATTCTGCCCCAGCCAACCCGCCTCACCGTGGTGGAATGACCCATGTCAGACCATAGCGATACAATAGTCAGCAGCTTATTCTGGCGTCCACCATGCAGCATGTTGGTCATGGTGTGTGTTCCAGCCATGGTGTGTTAGTGTGGGTGCCATGCTCAACAGACTGCTGCTCTGTGTGACTAGCTTTCCTTTTGCCACCCCAAAAACCCATGCCATGGCAGGCAAGGACACATTTCTCCTAGAACTCAAAACAGTCCTCGATCAGAAACACACATTTCTCTCTGTTGTATGTTTTAAGAAGTACACTTTCCTCATGCTGTTTCCCCCAATATGGTATTTTCCAGAGGGGTAGTTTTTGTATTTCCTGCACTTAGCCATAACCGCCATCTGCACTCACGACTACAACATGATTCTTAAAGTCTCCTGGAATTGACTAGACTCATCCTGAAATGTGGAGAATCCATCTCACCACTTAATTTAAAGTAGTTTATAGACACAGGCATTGGTTTTCAGGGGCTTATCTAAAATGAACAGAGGTTTCAAATGTACCTGAACGTTTCTGTGGTTTACTGACATTATTGGCATAGTAACGTGATACAAACTATGGGATATAGTAAATTACTCGATGCCGAAACGAAACATCAATTATTAAAGCAAAGGTCTTACAGTATATGTATGATAAGATAAAGACTCAGACAGTGCATTTTTACCTGCTCCAGTATGGATTCCATGCAGAGTCAGGGAAGTGCTGTAATTTCCATGTGGTTATGTGGTGCACAGTGCCAAGAGGAAACTGGAACAGGGTCCTCCTGTTGTTTTCACACCGGAATGGCTTCCCTGTATGCATCACACCTTCTGCTAGCTGTTAGCCCCATGGAGAGAGGGAGAGTCACTTTGGGCAAGTCATTTCTCATTGACAGATTCAAAGCAGAAATACCATCTGCACAAAGGGTTGAATTAGGATGTTTTTCTGTGTGGTTCATCTTCATTATTTCTGATTTATCAACACTGCTGGATAGCCACTCATTTCAAAAGGTCTGGATTATTTGAAAGATGCTTTATCAACACTATTTCATCTTAGTGTGTGTGGTTGTCAAATAAAATATCACATACAGTGCATTTTCACTGCACAAGCCCCTGTGTAAGTCTGTTTTCAGTGTTGGTGATAGTGTAGTTATCTTTCACAGCCACTAGGGGGATATGGTCAGGGTGGTTGCTTTTTGGAGTACCAGGATTTTTCTCTGATCTGAGGTGTACCAGGGAGTTCTCCCACAGATACACACACAAACGGATCAAGGCAGACACACACACAGCTATGTTTACTACACACATTTTGCAGGGCTGAGGAAGTGTGCTCTGTGAGTCAAAAGCACAGGTAACTCTCGCCCCCCTCCCCAGAGGATCCCGCATTACCACATGAGAAGCTCCAGCCAGACAGCCTGTGTGTGTGTGTGTGTGTGTGTGTGTGTGTGTGTGTGTGTGTGTGTGTGTGTGTGTGTGTGTGTGTGTGTGTGTGTGTGTGTGTGTGTGTGTGTGTGTGTGCGTGCGTGCGTGTGTGTGTGTAAATGCTAAATGCCAATGTTTTTATACACGCAATTGCTTGTGTGAAGTGAACAGATTACCAATTTGTATGTGTGCATTTATATGTGGGCCCACTGCTTCTCTCACCTCCCCACTTCTCGGAGGCAAAATGAAGTCTGTCTGGCAGAGAATGTCTATTGTGTAGTGCTAATGTGATAGCAGAGATTAGCATTGTAATCCATTTAGCATAGAGCAGCTAATCCACTGTATTACTGTTGAAAAGGAATCAGATAATATTGGATGGCACCACTGTAGCTGCCTTAATGAATTTAAGCTGATGAAAAATTACTTTTTACGATATATTGATAATTACTGTTGCTGACAATGAAACCAGGATTAGTATTTTCATTAAAAAAAGATAATCATCAGCTTTGTTTTTTCAACAAAGGAATTGAAGTATTGGATCTGTTCAGTGTACGCTGCTGAGTAAGCTTTTTGTTTGTAGATAGTGTTTGTACTAAAACAAATCAATAGCTGTTTATTTTCAGGTTTATTTCAACAGTATGCACCCAGCAGCTGGATCTTTTGAGTAGTATTCTCTTTCAAGTGCAAGGTTTGATATCATGAGGGATACAGCATGCTGTAACTATCTTTCAAACGTATAACCCTAGGGTGACCCTGCTGTGTTAGTAAAAATAAATACAGCGTAAAACTGCTATTAAATACTTGCACCAATTCTTGTTAGAATAAGTCCCCTGGCCTTTGATTCAAATCAGTTGTTTCCCTAATGTGTTCCCCTCCAGTCCCAGAGTGCCTGCGTTGCATACTTGCGGACATGCTGTGACTCCCTGGTGGCTCATTTGTTTTGTTGGTGGTCAGATTGAGGGATAATATACTGTACAGGAGCTTCCCCTCGAAGCCCCTCTGCTCCCTGGTGACCGTGGATCCGTCCCAGCACAATAAAACTGTACATTCAGCCTTTGCTGTATAGACTCTCTGCCCTTTAACTCTGCGGGGCAATTGGCTTCACACTTCCCTTCTATAATTTATAGCGTTGGTTAGCACACACATCTTCACATACACTCACATGCTCACACATGCTGTGTACAATGCGCATATGCACAGCGCCTCAAATTAACCCGCCCGATCGGGCAGATTAGATAACCCCACCTGCTGAATCTGGCCCCTGCTCGCGTGGAAGTTTATTTTCTTCCTGCCTCCCTCTTTTCTTTGGCTCACTCCTATTCGCCTTCTGTTCTTTTCTTCAGAACTGACCCAAGTGCATACAATGGTTCCCAGTGAAAGTGTGTGAGGCTTTGATACACAGAATTCAAGGTCCTTTGAGATCCAGATCACTACACAAGCCAAGCAGGAGGCAGAGCGAGAGAGGAAGAATGGCTGAGAAACAAAGAGGGAAGGGGGGCGGGGTGAAATGAGGGTGAAAGATGGTGCCTGTTCAAAGAAATGTCATGTTGTGAAACTGGAGTACAGTAGAAGCAGCAGGAGCAGGGCAGGACGTGAACTGTACCCTGTGTACTAAGGTTACTGTCTTTACTATACAATGAGTGATTGTCTAAGCAAAGACAAAAAGAGAGATTCTGTAGGACTATAGAAGAGCCGTTAACGTGTAGAATACAGTCAAAGGCTGGAGCTATTGCCATTTCATGGTATGTGGAAAAAAATGGGGTCAAAACATTGTTGTGCCATAACTGGAGCCTGGTTTAGCAGCCTCTAGAGTGAGTCATATTAACTGGCTTTGTATGTTTTGCTTGTTGCACTTGCTTTATGTTGGGCTATGTTAGCAAAGAGGTCTTGTAGCTAGCTTTTGTTGTTAATGTAATCATTACAGATCCATGTGTAATGGTACTATTTATAGTTATCACAGAGGTGTATAAGTAATTTTCACTCGGAAACTGTAGGTGCACTAAATAGCTAAATAAATAGCAGAACCTAACATTAAAGGGCTTGATTAATTATTTAATAATCATGAAGTGTCTCACCTGTCTGCGCGACCATCTGCTTCCTGTCAAATTATCTCCTGTTTGTGCCTGTTACCCATGACTCCATAAGTGCTGAAGAGCTACCAAGAGTCATCACAACTTTAACAAGACTTGCTTCACACCTGTCCACAAGCCCACACAGGTGTGTGTGTGTGTGTGTGTGTGTGTGTGTGTGTGTGTGTGTGTGTGTGTGTGTGTGTGTGTGTGTGGTGTGTGTGTGTGTGGTGTGTGTGTGTGTGTGTGTGTGTGTGTGTGTGTGTGTGTGTGTGTGTGTGTGTGTGTGTGTGTGTGAGCATTTATTCTACTGGGTGCTGAAAGTTCCTTGGGTAGGCATGTGTCAAAGTTGTGTGTTAGTTGGAAATTACATCCAGAGGACCAGATTTAGAATGGATCATTTGGAACACACCCCGTGCGTTTGTTTGTGTGTGACGATGTAAGCAGATGTTCAGGCATAAGCCAGAACACTTCCATCACACCACCAAGTGTGCACAGAGCCAATTCCATGCACTTTCTGCTGAGCAAACACACCTAGGGGCTCGCAAGCCACACCTCTTGCCCAGATGTCTAATTACTGTAATCACTTTTGAATGGCTGAAACCGTGATAGAGAAAGATGAGCGTCTCAGGCACCGCACAGAGAGCCATGATGCATGGGGAAATCCTCAGGCTGCGTGTGGTAAATGAGCAGTTTTATCTATAATAATTCTCAAAAGTACCTTTTTAATGATACCTTGGTCCCTGATTGCACACTTTATTGTCCTAAGCGTCACCGTGTTCCATTGCAGAGACCTTCCTTGTGAAAGGCAACGTGATTCTTTTCTACCTTTGCTTCTGTTTTACCACAGTTATTCTTTATTGTATTTCAGCCCTTCCAATTACTCTTGAACTATTGTAACCTCTTCTTAAAGAGAGGCAGTTTTTATTTCATTTTAAGTTGTCTTTTACTTAAATTAAAGAATTGCGCACTTTCTGCGCAATTAAAACGTTATGCACGGTTAGTATTTACTCTATTGATTATTTACATTCTGTATAGTAATACTTGGGACTTAATTGAAGTGCTAGAACATATGCATACTGTGTATTTATACATTCATTCTTAATGTTCCTTGTTTTTCCCAGATCCGGGTGGACGGCTCCTCTCGGGCTCTGCAGTATGAGACTGTGCAGGCGGTGGACAATGGACCCATCCTCCGAGACATGGCCTTCTCTCCTGACCACCACCATCTCTATGTCATGTCTGAGACCCAGGTCAGACACACACTCACACACATGAAAAGTCTCCCCTGCTAAATCAATATCATAACCACTGGCATTTATCATTTTCCTCATGTCAAAGGCTACAATAACCTTTGGTGTAGCGTGGAGGATTTTATTACAGCCTGGCTGGAGGAGAGAAAGGGATTAGATAGACTGCTGCTGCTATGACCAAGTCTTTTTATAGAAACACACTGTGAGGCTAGAGTTGGAGTGAATAAATGTGTTGAATTATAGCGAGAGAGGAGAGTGGTCTCAGTACACTTGTATGTGTGTGTGTGTGATGGTGTGTGTGCATGGGCACGTCCAGATTCACACATCCACACTATCTCTCTTAGTGCCTTTGATGGCATGGAATGTGGAGTGAAATAGCAGCACTCAGTGTAATGGACACACACACAGTGAGACTGTGAACACCTCTATCAGAGGCAACGGCTCGCTAAAATAGCACCATGGAAAGTCCATAACACATGCTGGGCTCAAAGAGATGCACACACAGCCATGGCTCACTGGGTTGGGTTTTCACTTTCTCTTGATGTTACTCACAAAGAGACACAAAGCTATGAGTGTGTATACTTATATTATATGTTATACATGTATAGATGGAAGACAAGGTGTTATGACTCGGCTCAAAAGGCCACAACAAAGAGGAGACACACCATGTCGATGGTTAACAAAATGTGTTTATTTAGGACAAACAAATCAAATCAAAACCAGTAAAGTATGAGGTGTGGATGTCAGTGGTATCAGTAATGTAAATGCAGGGTGAGGATTGTATGGACATGTATGTGTGTGAGAGTGTTTAAGTGCACAAAATAAAGCAACTGAAGAAACTCATAATATACTCAACAAAACCGGGGTGCCTGCAGGGAGAAGCAGAGAGGCTTTAAATAGCTGCAGGGCACCAGACCCAGGTGCCCTGAGTTACTGCAATCACCAATCACCACAGCACAGACAGGACAACCACCTCCTCTCTACTGATGAACCCACAGGGGCATCACACAAGGCATGGGAAATATATTTGTATAGTACCTTGCAACAGCAAGGCAAATACAAAAAGACCCATATAAATAACATTATAAAAAGAGAAATATAAGAGCTAAAATACAAAAGGGTAAATAAGACAGGGCAAGATATGACTACATAGTCCCACAAAAGTGTTAAGCCCTATTTGTAAACACACACATGAAATCATTAAACAAAAATGTGGCCAGCATTTTGATAATGTTTGGTTGATCTCTCTCTTTCAAGCTTTTTTTGGCATCATTTTCGGTCAGCATAAATGTGATTGCTAGAATAATGTTGCAAAAGCTTTGAGTTAAGATATCATTTTCCTTCTCGCTCCTCTCTATCTGCTGCCAGCAGTAATCACAGAAGGCCGCTGCTGTTTAGTTGGCAGTGATAGCCTAGTCGCCCTGTATTATGGACCTCTCTGGCACCATGAAAGTGTCAGTATTTGCTAATGTGTATTGCAATTTGTTTGTGTGTATGTGTGTAAATGTGAGCACATTTTAAGAGTCCAGATTATCCTGATAACACTTTAAATATCACACAGGCAGTGAGTGGAAGATGCCCTTTCAAATGCAGCCTGGTTGTCTCTCCTATGGGTCTCAGCCGGTCCATCTGCACAGAGAGTAGGAAAGGAAGCAAGGGAGGCACACAAGTTAGCAGAATAAGGACATTTAAGAGGCTATTTTGTCATGGTTTCTAATTCCATCCAATTAATCTTTTGTACAAAAGGGAGAATTTAGTTTTATCCCTCTTTTTGAAAAATTGCAGTGCGTGTAATTGAGCATAGGGAAGATATTACAGAAAAACAAATGAATTATTATTAATACTTAATTTCCATTTGTTCCCATTATGTTGGATCCTTTTATGCTTCGCTATAATCGCCAACATCGTGTTACACATGTAGCATTTCATTTTGTAATTTAGCAACGTAAGCTAATTGCATATCAATTAGCATATATTGAAGAAAAAAATTAACCAAATTAGTTTTGTTGGCCAATAGTGGTCCCGTGTGTGTGTGTGTGTGTGTGTGTGTGTGTGTGTGTGTGTGTGTGTGTGTGTGTGTGTGTGTGTGTGTGTGTGTGTGTGTGTGTGTGTGTGTGTGTGTGTGTGTGTGTGTGTGTGTGTAAGGCCTTCGTAGTAATTAGTCTATTAGCCTAATAGCCTAGTTAGAGAGCTGACCCCCTCTAACTGTTTAGGGAAGATCATCTGGGAATTGCCATAGACACAAATATGGAAAGTAGTTAATGAACACAACACTTACACACAAATGATACTCTAGTACAGTGGTTCTCAAATGGGGGTACGCGGACCCCTAGGGGTACGTTGGAGTACTGCAGGGGGTACGTGAGATTTATTTTATGTTAATGAAAAAAAAACATAATTAATGCATTTAAACAAACTACTAATAGTAGATTAACTACTTTATTCAAAGGTTTACAGTAATTCTGGATAATAAAATGGGAAAAATAAACGGGGTGCTCTCTTTTCCTCTCCCTCTCCTGACAGCCCGTCAGTCTCGTGCAGCTCGCTGAACCTGTAATAAGTGACCCGACAGTAAAGAATAAATATATGTATAACTAGTTTAGCTAGTTCCAGAGTAGATGAAATAGCTAAGTGTGTTAGGTCTAACTCTTAGTGTATTTTGCTCCACTCAACGGTCCGACACAGCAGGGGAGCTGTGATCATGCAGAGCTGCGTGTTCTCCGTCAGCAGCAGCTGACCTGATCTCTCTCTCTCTCGCGTCCGGTTAGACTTCACTCGCGTTTATGTCCAAATCTATCAGATCTAGCTAGTTCTAGTTAATGATATGACTGCCTGCTTATCAAAGGACCTAAACAATAAGCGTTGCTTGGCAACGGCGTGTGGCCGCAAAGTATAGCATTATGCATATGTTTATATGAGGGGTCAAAATCCCATGCTCATAAAATGCTCATATATTTTGTTCTTTTCATTCCCCACGCCCCAAAATAAATAAATAAACTAATTTTAGGAAAAGTAAGGAAGTTTAAGCAGTGTGGGTTTTATATGAACAGAGTTACACATATTTCAAAACGCGAAGTGTAATAACTGCAGTTAGCCTCCCTGTCAGCATGACAAAGATCCTCAGTGAAGCTCAAGCCCATGTTTCACTACATTGTAAGTACAACTTATTAAAAAGATCAGTTCAATGCAACTAATGTCGTCTTAGTGTTATTGCATGATGTTAAAATTGGTTTGCCATGAATTTAGTGATGGATTGTAAACATTTGAAATGTAGCATTTAAGTGTTTCTCAGTTACTGTTGTTGTTTTAATAAATCAGACACTGATGGTGCAGCGCTGTGCTGTACCTCTTTATATAGGCATTTTTTCCCAAACAATTGTTTTTGCGCTGATCTTGGCTGAATTTCTTTTTCAAAGGGGGTACATTATTGAAAAAAGTTTGAGAACCACTGATCTAGTAGAACAAAGTAGAAGTGAATGAATGCAAGATCTTATTTAACTAATTGTTTCAATTTTGTATTGTTATTTCTTTCTTTCTTATACCACAGATCTGTTATCTCATGTCAGTAGACTTTATTCTTCATGCAGATTCAGACAGCTGAAACACTGCTTTATTACCACCAGTTGTTTTATACTCTGCTGTGTCAGCAATCACTAAAGGAGTTCAGTGCATATTGCTTCATCTCAAATGTGCAGCAACAATATGTAGCATTACAGGTTTATTCTCACAGCTTTCTCTGCAGCAAATTCATTCCTGATGGTTTCCCTCAAAACTGTGAGCGGAATTGTTTCCCGTCATGCTGATTCTTCAAGTCCAGACAAGTTTTATTAAATGTCGAAGAGGTCTACAGGATGAGCTAGAAATGTAAACAGAAAAAGTATATTAACATGATTCAGTTCCACATAATTACATGTGGCTTTCATTTGCTATCAGTACTGATACAGATCACATCTTTCGAAAAAATAATGTTGATGAATGTTATCTTGTATTTCTTGCGTGCGTTTTTTATTAACCTCACTGCCAGGTTCAAAGGTCATGTTGTGGTCAGCCGTACAGTTCTGAATAACCATACTGCCTGCATGATCAGAGGCTGGTTTACAATAACAGCTTGCACAAACACACAAACACAATTCTAATTCCCATTGGTGGCAAACGCTATTAAAGCAGCTTGAGTGGGTCGATAGCAGAAGGCCACCTGCTGTTTCTGGGGCCTGGGGCTCAGACACTCAGTGATAGATGGAAAGAGAGGAGAGCAGAGGAGAGCTGAGGAGAGGAGAGGAGAGGAGAGGAGAGGAGAGCAGAGCAGAGCAGAGGGCCCACAACAGGAGGCTGAGAACAGAGGCAGTCGATACAGCCTCTCTCCTGCTGTTCTCAGCCTTGAAACCTTTCCCTTCAGTCCAAGAGAGCTCCTCTGCATCCTGGCTGCAGCAGAGGATGGAGAGGGTCAGCCTGATGTTGGAGGAGAGAGGGTCAGGAGAAGGATAAAGAGAGGAGTTTAAGCAGGGAGAAGTAAGCAGTCATTAAGAGACAATGTTCTGCTATTCCTCTCTCTGTTTGCTAATAGGTGGATACGTATGTTTTAATAGTTCCTACTACAAACAGAGGCTCTGCTTCAGGCGAAGGTGAACACAAATGTAACCTTATTTACTGTGATTGATCAACTTGAGTAGCTTATATTTCTGATCCCAGCTCATGAGAGTAAAGTAAACTAAGTGTTTCTCCTTTTTATTAACAGAAAACGACTGCAAACCTTGTCCTCACTGCAATCACAATCCTCTATCGCAAAGTCAATGAAAGAAAACAGACAGGATTACTTATATAATGATTTCCCGGCAGAGTACTTTTGTTTCTTTATCAGTATAAACATTTGTCATTTCTAATCTAGTCAGCAAAGCCTTTTTCAGTGCAGACTCTACTACGATACTGATCTATAAATGCATGCCAATGTAGTGACTGAAGCACCTTGACAAAGACGTATACACCTTGCTTCAGGCAGCGAC